TACAAATCGCGCAAAAATTATTATAATGGTTAATTTACTAATATGTGCACAATAAAATGTACCTACTACTTATGCATAGAACATAGTTATACCAAATATATCGTATGTTTAATATAGACAGACGATTTAAAAGAACTTAATGAAAATATGAAAATACTTCAAAACGAAAATCCTGAACAATGCATAGTTCCATTAGATGAATTACATTTATGAATAGCATCATTAGAGAGATATATAACACTACCAAAAAAATGAAAAACCTGAACACTGTATAATACTAATGGAACAATTACATTCAAGATTAGAGTCATTAGAGAGTAAAATATCACCTTAATAAATATCTAATAAATCGAATTTGTTTAAAAAATATCTATTCTTCATTTATTCATTCGTGTAGGAAAAGTTTAGTGGCACTGGTGTGATACTGTGGTTGGCCTCAGACACTAACGTGTTCCGAGGCCAAGCATTGGGTTGGTGTTACGAGTTACGACCACCATACGCGGTGACCACCGGATCCTACTAAACACATGTGTTTATATAAAAAACATTTTTATATACTTTATATGATTTATATACTTATCTAAACCACATATTAAAAGTTCCCCCACTAAATATTTTTCATTTAAGTATAACTCTGATGATATTTATGATATTCCTTTCATTTTTGCACTAAACATTATTGATTTTAATTCTTTATAAGTCCCCCTCAAAGTCTCATAGTGTAAAATCATTTTCAAAGACTTATGAATTTTTTTTAATAGAACAATTCAATTAAAAAACTGATAATGACTCAATATAGTTATATTCTAAGCATTTTGTGATCGGAATGTTATATTTATTTTGTGATAATATTATGATAAATTCAATTGTATGATCTTTTGTGATCGGAATATGTTAATAGAATGTTATATTAATTTTGTGATTTTTTTGGGCATTGTTTTTTTTGTGGTCTTGTACTGATGTGTAATTAGGTGTGCCAGAACCAGTCACGGCTCGACAGGTGAGGCAAGCGAGGCTCAGCCTCGCCTAACTGTTGTAAAGAAAAAGGAGGTATATACCATAATTATAGTTATTTCCATAATCGACTTATATTAAGTATATTATAATCAATAATATATTATACATTTTATAATAGAAAAGCTTTTTGTTATCATTTAATATTATTATCATGACAAAATGAATTTGTTTTTTCATGTATACTAATTAATATTAACAGCCATAGTACATAATAATATTTATACATACTTCGACACTGTTAATTGTTATCAAAAATCATGACGATGTTCGTGGAACGATAGAACGATCTCGACGGAAGCCGAAGAGTGCCGAGAGGCTAGTAATATTTAGCCTCAGACAAATCGGACGGCCGTACGATTATAAAAATATATATCATGATAGTGGGGGAAGTCAGAATATTATTATTAAATTAGGCTGAATGATTCGGGCCTCAGAGTTTGTCAACATTAACCATTAGTAATTTGTCGGAACGACGTGATTTCCACTATCCGAAAAAGGAACGGAAAGGTTGTCATCATGTCGTTTAGTGTAAGTGTATACCTGCCTATAATACTTTTAAAAATAAAGATATTATCGGTTCTTATCGAACAAAATTTGGTGAAATGAAAAAAAAAACAATGAACATATTATTATTATTCAATTTTCAATTTTGTACTTGTACTAAGGCTCGAATAGAAATTTTTAAAGAGCCTACTTCATACCTGTAGAACCATGGTAGTATTCATTTGATTAATAATTTATTGTTTATTTTCCTCACCCCTCATACGGTTCACGAGCCGCCACTGGCCAGAACATATATCTCTACTCTACTTACACACTTTAAAGTTTAAACTAACAAGTCTTTATATAATATTTTTATTATTATTAGGTACGACTACATGTTACACCTTATAATGGGTTTTGTAAAAATCGATGGTAGATACTTTCACAATATCATCATGTAAACAGTGAAAATTGTATTGTTTTTATCGAGCACCTAACGTCCAGACTTATAATATTTGGCTAAAGCACAAAATATATGATATCAATGATACGCCCGTAAACAAACATAAACATTTTTCATTTGTACAATATTTGTATAACCTACCTAATTTGTGATAACTATAAAGTAAAAATTCCGTTTTTCAAGAATATTTTTAAATTACTGTTACTTGTTGCCAGTCTAGTGCCATTATTATTAAATATACTGCGACGAAAATTACTTTAATCGGGTGAGTTTCCCTTTCACCACAATGTTTAAAAATCCACATTTTTCCTGCACCATTAATTGTACCATAACTTGTACCAATTTGTACCACAAATTTCATAATTTGTACCAAAAGATTTCCCGAAGAAAAACCTATTTCCCTCTACGGGTGCCAGGAAAACGTTTCCCCGGCAACCGAAATCCCACCAAATAATTTTTCCTGCACTATTAGTTGTACCATAATTTGTACCAATTTGTATCATCAATTACATAATTTGTACCAAAAGATTTCCCGGGGAAAACCCAATTTCCCTCTACGGGTGTCATGAATTAAAATACTAATAAATAATGATTATATCTTAAAAAATTTAGAACCCCACTTTTATCTTAGTGATATAAATATGATACCAACGTAGGTTAGGCTGCAAAATTGTTGCAATTAATTTGCAAAAATATGGTACTAGTTTGGAGACAATACGACAAAGTTGGGGAGGTCTGTTACATTAGCACCACTATATTAAAAATTTCAAAAAAAAAATATACCAACGATTGTTATGTCATTTGTACACATTTGTAATCATAATATAAACATTTGTACAACTCCCCAAATGCCCCAAAAAACCAAATTTCCTCAGTGGTGCTAATGTAACGTTACACCAGCACCCCACTTTTTGTACATTCGACTTGTACCAGCGATTTTTATTTCATTTGTACATATGTTTGTCTATACTATGAATTTTAACTAACAATTAATAAATAGTTGTTTATTAATTAACATTTCCTTTTATTTAACTTCATAAGTTCTTCAATATAAAATATATTTAATGTTTTTTTTAGCCGCCATTGTAACAATATATTAAGAGTCTTGTATTAAATATTCAAGATTTTTGATCATACGAATTAAACAGAAAATACGTACGTACGTTGTGCCAAAACCGCCTATTGAAAAATTTTAATTTTTTATTTCATCAATAATTAGCATGAATTAATTTTCTTCATTAAATATAGATTTTTATTAAAGTAGACCTTTTTTATTCGATTTAGATTTTGTTTATTCAACGATGATTTTTTTTATTATATTTAGATTTTTTTTGTTCACATTAAATTTGTATCTTATCCTATACTACGTTGGTATCATATTTATATCACTAAGGTAAAAGTGGGGTTCTAAATTTTATAAGATATAATCATTATTTATTAGTATTTTAATTCATGACACCCGTAGAGGATAATTGGTTTTCCTCCGGTAAATCTTTTGGTACAAATTATGAAATTGAGGGTACAAATTGGTACAAATTATGGTACAATTAATGGTGCAGGAAAAATGTAGGAAAACTTATTTGGTGGGATTTCGGGTGCCGGGGAAACGTTTTCCTGGCACCCGTAGAGGGAAATTGGTTTTTCTCCGGGAAATCTTTTGTTACAAATGATGAAATTTGTGGTACAAATTGGTACAAATTATGGTACAATTAATGGTGCAGGAAAAATGTGGATTTTTAAACATTGTGGTGAAAGGGAAACTCACCTACTTTATTATTCGCACAAAATATATTATGGTTAATTTACTAATATATATACAATAATATGTACGTATGCATAGAATGTAGTTATACCAAATATATCATAATATGTTTAATATAGACAGAAGATGTGAATAAAAAAAAAGAAAATAATAATGCCGCAGCTGAAGGAAAAAACCAAAACTGTGTAATAACGATTGAACAGTTCGATTTGACAGATTGATGATGTGAAATTATCATTTAGCCGTTTTAAAAATATTTTGAGACCTAATAGGCGACATTTAACATTCAAAAATTTAAAAGAAATTGTAATTATTCAATGCAACAAATCATTTAAATATTTTTAAAATTATATTTAATGTATTTTTTTATACATATTTTGATGTTGTAAGCACTTATTTTATAACTGTTATACTTCCATATTTATGTACATAATTTGGATTTTTATTATATATAAATCCGTTCCCTAGGAGTGGCTAGGACAACACATCCCTATGGAAAACCCTAAATAAACAATATAAATGTTTATACAATATTTTTAGATTCTGAGCGGAGCGAGGAAGCTAGTGGTTTTACATTGGTGTATAAATTTTTTTTTTTTTTCATATCCTGTATACAAAATTCCTACCAGAAGGAATCCGTCGATTTCCACATATTATAGTATCTTATCTTTTTTTAAAATTGGATCAAGATGGTACTTTTAAAAGGTCATTTTTCGATTTTATCAATACCTAGTTATTTAATGCCACGGTAAAAACCATCGAAAAATTACGAAAAACCGCTAAAAAATGGATTTTAATTTCTAACGCTTTGTTTATTACCATAGAAAAGAAAAAAATGATAATATTATTATATTTATTCAACTTGCATGATATAATAAATAATGACAATATAAAATATCTAGACTGACATACTGTTTTCGCTCAGAATCATTTTTCTTATACAATGAATAATGATAGAATATCATTGAATTCAAGTTTAATACAATCCATTATACATTGACGCACTTGTAACTACTGCACAACAGAGCGACATCCACTTACCTACTTTTTATATTTTTTTTATTTTTATTTTTTTTTTTTTATTTATTTGAAATACACGCCCGAAGGCAATCAGTACAGAATAATTGAATACTTAAGCTAGTTTGAACAAAAACATACATAGATAAAACATTATAACATTACAATATTAAATATACAATATTAACTTAATTATTGTTAACACACTGGTTTTATAAGTTGGTTGTAGGTATACAATATATTAAACAGAAAAGATGTTTAGAAAGAAAATATATTATTTTGCAACGCTTTTTGAGAGGAATGAAAAATATCAAATTTGTTTTGTAGGTTGTTACAGGAGACTAATGCTCTGTTAATAGGGGAAAAAAAACCGTAAAGTGTTTTGTGACTAGGAATGTGGAAGGTCGGCCGGCTTCTAGAATTAAATGTAGGAACTGATAAATTAATTTGGCTGAGCAGAAAACTATCTTTTATAGTGCCATGTAAGATTTTGTAAATAAATATGACATCGAAATAAAGACGTCTTGAACTTAGAGAGTTGATATTAACCAGTCTTCTAAGTGGTTCATAGCAATGATCAATTATTATGCAATTGTTAGGAATTTTTGTATTAATAAATCTTAGGAATTTATTTTGAACTCTTTCGATTTTATTTATCCATACAAGTTGGTAAGGGTTCCACAAAATGGAGCAATATTCAAGTACTGAACGTACTAGAGCGAAATAAAGAATTTTTAATGATACAATGTTATTAAAATCGCGAGTGTTTCTGATAATAAAGCCAAGTGATCGTGATGCTTTTATAGTTATTGATTGAATGTGCGCAGTAAAAGAGAGTGAACTAGAAAAAATAACTCCAAGATCTTTAATAGAGTCCACTTTAGGTAAAAGGTAATTGTCGGAGTAATAAGCAATATTGAACGGAGATTTGTTACGATAAAAAGAGATGGAATTGCATTTATTAATGTTAACTTGTAAACCATTATTATAGCACCAGGCTTTGAAATTATCAAAGTCGTCTTGTAATTTAGAGCCATCATCTAATGAATTAATATTATAAAATAGTTTTAAATCATCGGCAAACATACTAAACTGTGCATGTTTAAAAACTAAGCCAACGTCATTCATGTACAATATAAAAAGTAGTGGTGAAATATGACCTCCCTGTGGGACACCTGAGGGGATAGAGATATTATTAGAAACATAACCGTGAAGCCTTACCTTTTGAGATCTACAAGATATATATGAACTAAACCATTTTAACATGAGATTATTAACACCCATCAACTCTAACTTACGAATCAGCACAGCGTGGTTAATAGTGTCGAACGCTTTACTAATGTCAGTATATATAGCATCGACCTGACCACCTTTTTCAATAACGTCCATTAAATATTTATGATATGCAACTAAATTTGAAGAAGTAGAAGTATGTGGACGAAAACCAAATTGTTGTGGAATTATATATTTAGAAAAAGAGAAGTTTAATTTAGGAAGTAAAATAGATTCTAATAACTTAGGAATTGATGACATAATGCTGATAGGACGATAGTTAATAATATTAGAGCGATCGCCGTTTTTAAAAACTGGCTGGACATAAGAGGATTTCCATAAGTCTGGAAATGTGCCTGAAGACAGTGACAGAGAAAAAAGGTAGTGTAAAGGAAGCGTTAAAGCATACCTACATTGGCTTAAAACTATTTCCGGAATACCGTCAGGGCCAGGTGAGCTATTAAGTTTACATTTTTCTAGTGCTAAGAAAACTTCTTGAACAGTAATGTCGATTTTTGATAGATCAATACAATCGGCGATCGTAACCTTTAAATCATCAGTTGATGGACAAATGTGTGAGTAGGCCGAAGAAAAGTGTTCTGCGAATAAATTAGAAATATTTAACCCGTCCTGTGCAGTTTTATTATTTAAAAACATGACTTTTGGGAAGGTGTTTAATTGTTTGCGGTCATTAATAAATTTCCAAAATTGTTTTGGCTTACTGACCAATGATAATTGAGTCTTGGATATGAAATTTATATAACAGGAACGAGATAGTTGTTTGCATTGTAGGCGAAGATTTGAAAAGGTGAAGTAATCTGAAACGTGATTAGATTGTTTATATTTAAAATGGGCTCTTTTTTTTTCTTTTATTAACAGTCTCAATTCTTTATTAAACCATATTGGGAATGAATTATAATTATAAGTAACAATAGGAACATGTTTTAATAAAACCTCGTGACATATTGAATTAAATTTATTAACAGCTGTATTAATATCTAAATTTAAAAATGTTAATGACCAGTTAATTTTATTTAATTCGTAAATAATGTCAATAAAATTCACTTTTTTAAAATTGAAAAATTCAATTTTGTGTGGAAGAGTATTAAAAATGCGTTGTACTTTAGAATAGATTCTTAACGGTGGGTGATGGTTATCGATAGGGACAATCGGATCTAAAGATAACGAGACTGACAACATAGGAAGGGATGAAAAAACAAGATCTAATAGTGAGTTATTATAATTAAGTATTGGATTGAATTGGCGGAAGTTAAAATACGAATAACCGAAAAGAATAGAATCAGATTGAGCAGTGGTAGGAAAAAAGTTGACACCGGAATTTGAATTGAGATCGTAACGTGCAGAAGATAAATTGAAGTCACCAGCAATAATAAACTCGCAGTCCGCGTATTTCGTACGAAGCAATTCTAATGATTGAATGTGAGAGTCGTACATATCAGGGCCACTGGATGGGGGGATATAAACACCACCTATAATTAGTTTTTTATTACCAACCGATACTAATATGAAAAGTTGTTCTACGTTATTTATCGGCACAGATAACATTTTAGCGGCATATAAATTATTAATTGCGATAAGAACACCACCACCTCTACGGTGGGGACTAGTAATTTCATTCCTATCAAAGCGAAACAGTTGATAATCGGTAAGACCTAGCTCTGAGTCACAGAAATCTGCAGTGAGCCATGTTTCAGTTAATATACAATAGTCAAAATCGAACAGTGAATAATTACAACGCAAAATATCTAATTTTGTGCGTAAACCGCGTACATTTTGGTAGTAACCAACGAAATTAATAAACTTATCAGCTAACTTATTTTTAAGGTTAAAATTAAAATTACAATTATAGTTAAATACAAACGGAGTTGAATCTTCATTGACATTGGAAGGGCGTGTATTGTTCAGTTTTTTGAAATTATTGTTGGTTGGCCTCGAATGTAACCGATTCGAATGTTTGTTTCACCGCGACTTTTTCTTTCTGACAGCGTGTTCCAGACAGCCTTGAACTGTTCTTGTTGAAGCTTGGTTTTATCAATATCAATATTTAGGTGTTTCAGCGTTTCAATATTACGGAGTTTAGACTTTGCTTTAAGGATCTGATTAACACAGTTAACATCAGGTAGATTCACCCTAAGCGGACGACGTTTGTTATAATTATTACCAAGTCGTATAGCATTTAGAGCTTTTATGGGTAAGTTTAGGGAAGAAAAAATTGAGTTAACTAGAATTAATTCGTCAGGGGCACTGTCAGAGGTGCATTCCGGGGCATTGAAAATAATAATATTACACTTCCTGCGATCTCTATCAGATACTTCGCTACAAAAGTCTGTTTTTTCAAAATACGTAATTTTTTTTTCGAGGACAGAGATTTTTTCCTTTAACGTGTTATTTTCCGAAATAACATTATTCAATAATTGTAGGGTCTCATCAAGTTTTTTTGTAATTTTAGATTCTTGCTGGGTAAACTTACTTTCCAGAGACTTTACTGATTTAATAAGTTCTTCAAGACTTAAACTAACAGGTTTTTTTGTAACTGTTGGAGACATATTTTGTGAACAGTATAGACACTTCCACGAATTTAAATCCGAAGTATTAAAGACACAGTTTTTATGAAAAAGTAAATTACAGAGACAACAGGTGATAGAGAGTTGATTTCTATTGATAGTTAATGAACATAATACACATAAAACCATTACATAATGTTATCTTAAAACCACGGGTCGTAATCTATACGTTAACGGACGGATGCGCGATAAACACGACCGTCTCTAGCAGAGTCTAGTACTCTACTATTTTGAAACAAATTTTATATAGAAGTTAACCTGACTATGGATTCATTCTAACATTCATTCTAACGATAAATGACTTACTTGAATTGTTTTCGGGTATTATGCTCATTTTACGAGTCAACTTAAGAGCCGTGATACATGGATTTGTAATTTAACAAAAAACGTTAATATATATTTTGCAATATTCAACGATTATTTATATTTAAGACAATAAAATTACTCTTTTGCAAATAATTTAAATATTTATTAAAGTGTTAAAAACAATATTTACAAAAAAAAAAATCTAAATAAAATGGTATAATTTTTTTTGTAGGCATAAAAAATCTTATGGTAAGAATTATTTATCCCATCACTATTTATAAATTGGGAAATATTAGGTACCTCCGACGCACCTTATTAATCTTAAACTTTCTTTAAAATATCACTGTTATTTTTAATATAGGTACATTTATAGATAAAAATAATTTGGATTTAGATGAACACTAAATCCTAAAAAAATATCAACAGATAGGTACATTATTAATCAAAGGTTGCTCGTTGCATAATTTTAATAGCCAATTAAATAATCTTGTATAGTATGAACACTAAAGGTCAATATATTAAAAACCCATTAAAACCCTTGAATACATTTTTACTATTTTTGGATTCTTCTGGAAGTAGAGCTCATAATTGTATAATATAAACCTACAGTGATTGTATGATTGGAGTTCTTACAATTTTTTTACAAATTCATTCCCTAGGACAACAACACATCTCTATGGAAATCTGTAAATAAACAATAGAAATGTTTATACGGTAATCATTATTTTGAAACCGAGCATAGCACAAGTATAATAAATACAATAACAATAGTAAAATATGGAATTAAAATAAAATGGATTTTAGAAGAAGTGGATGAAAAAAGACAATTTGAAGGTAATATAATATAACGTTAAAAACTGCAAAGCATACTATTAATATATTTTAGTACAAAGCTTACAAAACATATTATGGTTATTTTACTAATATATGTACAATAATATGTACATATGCATAGAGCCATAGAACGTAGTTATGCAATATAATATATAGACAGAAGACGACGACGCAATGCATAAATTAGAAGAAAGTAGAGGTAAAAAAGAAGAGACAAACGAAAAGGAGGGAAAGAAGAAACGATTATATTAATAATATTGTAGAAATGAAGGATAATATTATACAAAAAAGACTGTCCCTACATCAAGAGGTTAGATAACCCAATTATTTAATATTTGTTATTTTGAAACCAAACATCCCTGACTGAGGATTCACTTTAGTTTTCACTAAGGATTCATTATATCTACCTATCGTTATAACGATGAATGACTTGATTGAATTTGTTTGTGATATTATGCTAATTCTAGTTTCTACGAGTACTTTTTTGAGCCGTTAAACTTTTATTGCTAATTTCACAAACAACATTAATAACTATAATTAAATATTCAATTAAGATTAAATGGCTTTTGTATGAAGTGTGCAGGTGGATGAGCGGAGTAAAATATTATACGAAAACAATTTCATAGCGAGGCAAAGACAATCAGGGCAGATCGATTCTCTCATAGTTAATGTAAAAAAAAACTGTTGAAGGCTCCGAGTCATACCACAATTTTTAAAGAAATGTACCCTGTGATTACTCTACCACCCGAGCCCATAATTACTACGTGGGGCATATTATATTATGTGGGGCACATGGTTGGTAGCTCCTCAATATTATTGTGAACACTTTTCAAAAATACAAGAAATTATTTCAATATTAGATTCAGAAACTTTTGTTGCTATTTTATAATTTCAAAATACTGTGCTAAATGAAACATTGAAAAATAACTTAATTTTACATACTATCTAAATTTATTACTGAACCTCAACTCTCTAATCAGTCCACTAATTACTCTCCTCTCATCAGTTCTTAACGCACTAATCCCCAAAGCTCCCTTATCTCCATAGTTATTTTCGTAAATTTATTCTCATTATATCATAATAGTCTATCCAAGGTTATTATAATTTCTACCTCACTAATGTTTTAAATACCAGACTTATAATATCTGGCTAAAGTCCAAATGTTTATTGGTTACACACTTACACATCACTATAGACTATAGTAGACGCCCATACACAAATATAAACATTTTTCATTTTGTATAATATAAATATTATTAACTTTGTACCTAACTATTACCAACTGTTAACCACTTATATACAAATAAAATACTAAAAGTGTCGTCTATAATTACAATTATGTTGAAACACTCTTAAATATGTTTTTAATATTATTTAAACAAATAATTATAATAATAATGGACATAATAGAAATTGTTGAAGATGTTTTTGCTGCAAATAAATCATTAAAAAATCATGTGAGTACTGAAAATGAAATTAAGGTTAATAAGATATAACTTTAAAAATTGCAAAGCATACACTATTAATATATTTTAATACAAATCGCTCAAAATATATTATGGTTAAATTATTAATATAATATGTACAATAATATATACGTATGCATAGGACGTAGTTTGTAGTTATACCAAATATATCGTATGTTTAATAAAGACAGAAGATTTGAAGAAAATTAGTGAAAATATAACAATACCACAAAATTAAAAACCCGAACCTTGCATAATAACAATGGAACAATTACATTTATTATTAGAGTCATAAGAGAGTAAAAAATCACCTTAATAAATCGAATTTTATTTTGGCACCAATAACCCTGTACCCAAAACGAATTAATTATTTTTTGTGCAAATGGTATTTCCTCATCACTAATGAATAACTAACTATGGGTGCAAGTAAACTCCGCCACGAGTACCTTTTTTTAGTGTAACTTTAGCTAGGAAACTAAAACGGGTAAAATTGGGTTCATGTAAACTCCGGCAGTGAAGAAAATCAAGTATAGGGAATACATTAATTAATATAATATACCAATTATTATTTAACAAAAATACATTATTTTATAACAAGAATCATCCTTATTATATAGTGATATATGCCAAAAAATATATAAAACTTAAAAATAAAAATAATAATTGTACAAATCATACAAATTTTAATGGCCTGTATAATATTATGTTAAAGAATCATGATAGATAATTTTATTGAACTAATAAAAAAATATTATGTAGGTTTGTTATATTATGACATAATATTATTATCTTATAAATTTATACCTTATAATATTTTGTACTGTGAACATATGTGATACAATTTGTAGAGATATTCTAACTATTAAATCTAATTCAAATCCATTATTATAACTAATATTTATAGCGTTCTCTAACACCATAATTTTTTTTTAATTTTTAATTTTTCAGTTTACTTAGGTGAGATATATTATTTAGTTTTACATAAGCAAGGACTTATCACTGGCAAAGT